GGGTGTGAGGACTGCGTGAAGGCATTTTTATAGTTCCTGCCGCCCTTGTGAGTTCTCATATGTACTCGGAGGGCTGAAGCACGTGGGAAATCTTTCCCACATTCTTTACCCACATATGTATCTGAACTACGAAATGTTTCATGTGAGATTACAGATGAAAGACCACTACAGGAATTAGAAGTTTTCCTAGGATCACACTTAGGACCGCTCACAGCATCTCCAATGGTTGAGAAACCACAGAAATCTTTCTCAGATTGGGAACATGGATAGAATTTCTCAATGGGGTGTGCTCTCATAGGATCCTTGAGGGCTGCCAAACTGAAATGAGTTTCAGGTTCCTTTTGACTATAAGTTTTCTGTCCTGGAAAAGTGCTCAGAGGTGTGGTCAGGTTAGAGTCACAACTACAAGGTTCTTTACATTTCACGCCCTCACAGAGATGGCACCCTGTGTGAGACCTGATATGGTGATCATGTGACGCGTCCTCCATGAAGGCTTTCCCACACTCACGCCATTGAAATGGATTTCCTTCAGGAAAACTCCTTTGTATCAAAGTAAGATATGGAACCTGGCTGGAGGCTTTCCCACACGGATTACCTTCATTGCTTTCACAGTGTTTCTGTGCTTTCAGAGCGCTGTTGAAACAAAGCAATATACTACTGGCATTGCTTCTACATTCAAATTAACTAACACAGCGAACTTGCATGCTTTCTAGACTGAAATATGTGTTTTCTAGTAGGTGCTGTTACCAATTCTGTCAACGTGAAATATGTTTCCAATACTGTGCATCCCACTCACGTGTTTGAAATATTCTACAACTAAAATCACATAAACACAGGTGACAGCTGGGTTTATATATACAACCATAATTACAAGTATGTGTACACATAGGAATATATATTAACATCAATCCTGTTCTGAACTGGGTCACAACTTTTATGCCATTTTCATTGGCAATGAGGGCAGCAATTGAGTATGGCTATAGAAACATTCAGGGCAGAAGGAAACTGATTGATGACAGCACCGTGAGGGAGACCCTCACTAAAGGAGGTGTAGATGATGGCCAATTTGGAGTGAGACACTGGCTAACTATTTCTTCTAGGGCCAAGCATGATGGAAACACATTGATTTGCTGTGCAACGCCTATGCTGCCCTTCTGTACACGGACAATTCCTGTACCATTGCAAAGAGACTTGAGGGATGCTCTCTGATGGGAATATACTGGTGTATTTCAAGGTCTGTCCCGATACTTTTGAAGCCCTTCTCCTGAGCCACTACTTGCTTCTTAGATTGAAACACAACTCACCTCAAATGTACCCGCTGCTTTTCACGCTGGTCTTTACTGACTCGTGACTCGGAGATTTCAGCTACAATGGAAGACCAGGTCTCACTCTTCATGAGCTGCAGCGTTATATGTTCAGTAGATAGTATTTCCCCTCCATTAAGGCTTTGAGAGACTGAGCCATTCAACATATAAGACAAAAATGACAGGAATTATGAGCATGAGAGACTTACTATGGTCAAAGAAAATTATAGCTACATTCACTGTTGAAGCATCTTAGTAACAGCTCTAATGCTTTTATTACAGGAAATTCGTCCATTAGATCAAGAGGGATGGTGACAAAACAATGTCATTAGGAGAAACAGAAAAACAGAGGGCACAGTGGAGGGATAGTGGGGTGGATATGGGCAACTGATGATACAGATCTACACATAACCTTCTCCCTGTGGGATGGACAACAGAAAAGCGGGTGAAGGGCGATGTCAGACAGTGTTAAGATAAGACAATATAATAATTTACAAATATTCAAGGGTTCATGAGGAAGGGGGAGCAGGGAGGCAGGGGGAAAATGAGGAGCTGATACCAGGGGCTCAGGTGGAAAGCAAATGTTTGGAGAATGATGATGGCAATAAATGTACAAATGTGCTTGATACAATGCATGTTTGTACGGATTGTGAGAAGCGTTGTATGAGGCCCCAATAAAGTTATTTGGGAAAAGTATGCAAATATATATATTTATATCACAAGATTCAAGTGATAATCAAATAGGAAAAAGACCTAAGTGACCGCAGCTGTGAAAACATTGCTAACATCAGAAATCACACACCGGAATCCGATTATTGTGCCAAAGTAAAATACGGAAAATTGTGCCCTCAAGCCAAAATACTTTCAAGATGTCCAATTTAAATGTGATTTTCTTCGGATAACGCAAGCCTTTCAAACAATATTAACTTCACCATGTGTCTCAACATAGTTGAGTGAGTCATATAACCACTGTCGTTCCCCGTTTATCAATAAATACAATAGTGTAGAAGTGACATGGTGCTTATCTAAACTATGAGAGCTGTGACCAATCCCTGGGACTCAGCCACTGTCTCCCATTTCAGAGCCTCTCAACATGACAAAGGAGTCCGCGGTGGTGGAGCGATTACATTTTTGGCTGTGATCCGCAGGGTCAGCAGTGTACAACCACCAGTAGCCCCGTGGGACAAAGACTGGGCTTCCTCATCCGTTAAACAGTTACAGTCTCAGAAACCCACAAGGGGCAGGCAAAGGTCAGTACTGGCTTGATGGCAGTGGATGTGATTTGGAATATGAACAGAAGATAAATTTACTGTCATAATCATAAAGAATTGTAAAAGAAAATCATAATTTCAAACTACCAAGGAACAAATCTTGGAGACACTGGAAAGGAGCCTTGCAGACAATCTACCGTTGGAAAACTGGGAGGTCCTCAAGGTTTTCACAGAAAACAATTGACGCCTCACTTTTGGACCTAGTTTTTTTTTTTTTTTTTCCTGATTTTATTATTTTTTATTTTTTAACATTTTATTAGGGGCTCATACAACTGTCATCCCAATCCATACACACATCAATAGTGTAAA